AGACATTGTTGGCTCCTTGGGCACACGCTTTTCCCGGCTCTGTAAGAGAGGAAAGCACATTGCAGACCTTAAAACGCTGCACCAACAAGAGTTGTGTTGGTGGTGGTGGTATTAACATTGTCATCTATAAAATGTTATCCATTTCTGATAGAGAACCGATGGACTTGGGGTGCAGATTGGAGCATATTTTTTCCTCTCTTTTTTCTTTTCCCTTCCTTTCCCCTAGAATGTGGTTGATGCAGAAATATGTTTTGCATGACTGTATATGTCATGTATATATAACGGGTATCATATTTCTTGCCTTCTCAATAGATGGGGAGAAGGGGGAGGGAGGGAAAGAATGTGGAACTAAAAATAGAAATAAAATTTCAATTACAAAAAATTGTCATAAAACCTGACCTGGAATCCTCAGGAAAAATGAGTTGTTCTGTCTAGCAGAGTTCTCTGGTGACTAAGTCTTTAAGTATTAGAACTTTATATTTTAATGATTGGATGGAAATCTTTGTAAAATTTCATTTACTATGGAACAGTAAAGCCAGAAGTCCTGAGTTGAAATCCCATTTCTGATGTGCTTATTACTTGTGACCTTAGATAAGTCGCTATCCTCCCTGGACCTTTCTTTCTTCAATCTGTAAAAATAAGGGGGTTGGGCTAGATGATGGTCTTTGAGGTTCCTTCCACTGCTACAACCCTATGATTGTGATGCAGAACGCGTGTCTCCTTGCTGCCCTTAGTTCTGATAATTACTATGAATGAAAAAGCATTGATGAAGTGCTTTCTATGTGCAAAGCCTGCTGCCCTGCTGATAGCTCTTCTACTGCTGTTTCACCCATTATTATTCACCTTAGCCAGAGGGGGAGATCAGAGTGAGTGGATGACTTGCTTTTTTCCAGCTGATCCAGTGCAGATGGGAATCTCTTAGGATCAGAAGATTTCCATTTGGAAAGGAGCCTTGGAGATCTTCTGCTTCAACCTCCTCATTTTGAAAATAAGGAAACAGAGACTTAGAAGTTAAATCACTTGGCCAAAAGTCACCTCCAGCGGTGGAAAGCACGTCAGAGGAAATGAGTTCAAATCCTGGCTGTGATGCTTACTGCTTGTATGGTTCTGGTTCCCTGTAAAATGAAGGAATGTTAGTTGATATGAGTTCCTATGGTCCACTAGCCCTATGTTAGAACTAGGGTTTAAACTCATGTCTTCTCCAGATCCACTCCATTGTGTTTGAACTCTTTTCAGCAGCCAGGTTTTAAGGTCTTCCTTCCTTTCCCATCCCCCTGCAACCTTCATGGTAGGTTATTAGCTTTTTCTTCTAGTTTTTACTGAATTAGAAACCATTACATTGGGTCAGGAATTTTAGATGGATGAATTAGAGCTAAACTAAGTTTAAATGTACTTCCCCAGCAGCCAATTAGGAGAAAGAAGAGAGTGAAATAAAGGATTTCTGCCACTGGCTTGGGGGAGTTGATACAAAGGGAGCAAGTACTGGTTAAAGAAACATCTAATTTGCCTTTCTAGTAAGGAATGAAGAGTTTGACTTAATTTGCCATGTGACTAGGAAGAGACTTTCTAACAGTGAAGATCCTCATGTGCGCTCTCCATAAGGAATTCCTTTTTTAAGGCATGGTTAGTAACGGGAACATTGTGTTTAATTCACCTCTTTAAGAGGGAAGAGCCTAATTCGCCACTGACCTGCTGTGGTTTGACCCAGTCTCCTTGGCTAGCTCTTTTATATAGAGAGAAAACAGAGACCGTTAACTGAGGTAATAATAACTTGCCCAAATGAGCGTACAGCAGGGATTACTCATGGCTCTTGAATTTCCAGTCTGCTCATTGGTCCATGTGCCACCCCCCGCCCCCCCTCCCCCCCGGTACTTTTTGCTTGCTTTATCTCTGGAAGAGGGAGGTGATGTGGAAGACCAGGCTGGGTGGGAAAGGAGCACAGCTCGAACCCCACATCCTGCTGCAGACAGCAGTTAAGCCTTGGTGTCTGCTACTGGATGAGAGTGGTCAGGCAAACAATGTCAGATGTGTGTACCTTGCCTTCGCCCTTGTAGCAAAGGGTTACATGGGGTCATCTTGAGGCTGGGAATCTGAAAGGAAAAGAAACAGTCATTCTGGCAGTGCTGGCTCATAAACTTACACTCATTTAAGAGATGAGGAAATGCTGTAGACAC